ACAAAGAACTTGGACAAATACAGGCTCCCGAACAACCTCCTGTTCACGAAAACCACACAAATATCGACGAATTTGCGTTTTTACACAAAAAACGTCCCCAAGACAAAAGACACACCCCGCGCGGCGGCAAACGCACGTGCTTCCTTGTTGTTGTTGTTGTTGTTGTTGTTGTTGTAGTTGTAGTAGTAGTAGTAGTAGTAGTAGTAGTAGTAGTTTAGTAGTAATAGTAGTAGTAGTAGTAGTAGTAGTAGTAGTAGCAGTAGGAGTAGTAGGAGTAGTAGGAGTAGTAGGAGTAGTAGGAGTAGTAGTAGTAGCAGCGGTAGCGGTAGCGGTGGTAGTGGTAGTGGTAGTAGGAGTAGCAGCAGGAGCAGCAGCAGAAGCAGCAGCAGCAGCAGGAGGAGGAGGAGGAGGAGTAGCAGCAGCAGCAGCAGGAGCAGCAGCAAGAGCAGCAGCAGGAGCAGCAGCAGGAGGAGGAGCAGGAGGAGGAAGAGCAGGAGGAGGAGGAGCAGCAGCAATGAGCAGGAGGAGGGGAGGGAGCAGGAGAGGAGGAGGAGCAGGAGGAGCAGGAGGAGCAGCAGGAGGAGGAGGAGGAGCAGCCACTAGAAACTAGTCCTTAGGGAGAGGAAGCAGGAGGAGCGGTAGTAGTGTCAGTAGCAACCAGTCAAACTAGAAGTGTTGCGCGAGTAGCGGCGTCACAGGGGCTGCGGCCGCCCACAAGACTCCAGCCGTAAGCTTTGGGTTGTGGCGAGGAGTCTTTCTTTGGCACGTCGCTGCTCCGTTTCTGCAGATTGATCCGTTTGGCTCCTGGGCGGCACTGAGCCCTAATTCCCAAAACTCAACCCTGCGAGCTGACGAGCCCTCTAAGTCCTTCGAGAAGCTTCTATAAGCACGTCCGAGGTGCGCATCGTCAAGGTTTTCCGTTTGAAAGCCATGAAGGACTTGTGGGTATCAATGGAAATCATCGAAGCAAGAAGAATAGGAGCCATAAGGTTACAAACGATAGCATCAGCAGTCACAGAAGGCTGCTAAGAGGGAAGCAACATCATGCTCGAAAGCCATTGCCAATGATGAGAAGGATTTGCGGCTGATGGTCAAGGGACTGATTGCTGGAGTGAAAACCTTGGTGATGGCATTTACACTGCTTTTCACGGTGTTGTATGTCATCAGCGGCTTTGCCACGATGACTATCGGAGCCTCTGAAACAATTTCTCGAAAGAGTTTGTGTTGTTCTCGGAGTTTAGGAATGCTAGAGCGGCTAGAGTCCGGAGAGTCTTGGGCTCTGTTGGATTCTGTTGTTCTTGCAAGGTCAGAGCATTGGCTTGGACGACCAGCCGCAAATCGTGAGAGACTTGTTACCCTTCTTCAAGACGATCCCAGCCTCCATGTTTACGGCCTTCCGCTGCTTCACCGGAGAGTGCACGGACCACGGTGGACGAACGATCCATTCCATTCTCGCCGAAGAGTTTGGGCCAGTCTTCATCTTCTCCTACGTTGCAAGCTATATGCTGGTGTCCATGGGGATTTTCAACGTGTGCCGCGGCTGCCGGTGCTGGTCTACGGTACGGCCGCTAGGGTTCCAGGGTTTGGGGTCCAAAGGTCCCCTCCTACCGATGGGCAGGGTTTACGGAAAGGGTTTAGGTGATGGGATGGCATTTTTTGTTTCTACTCCTCCATCCAGGATTCCGGCCATGTCCTTTACATGCCGCATCCAGGATTTTGGCAGTGTATGTCGACATCACGATGAAGGCTGCCAAGGCGAACCCGAGAAGGGATAATAACCAGCGGACCTAGCTGCGTTGAGTTGCAAGGAGTTGCGAGGGTCATCCTAGCAGTAGCGGCCGCAAGTGGACAAGCACATGTAGTTGTCGCCGCCACAAGCTTCGTAATCTCTGTTGCTGCAGTCTTTGAATGCTCTTGCCACTTCAGCCGCCGCGACTACGATAGCAACAAAATTCAATGCTCCTGCTCCTGTTGCTGCCGCTGCTCCTCTGTGCTGCAAAGCTCCCTTGAGCTTTTCCCCTCATGCAGTCCTGTGTTTTTTCGCACCATTGCCTCGGGTCTACTAACTATCAGTACAGTATATCAGTCTTGCTTTTCCTCAGCTTCTGCCCCGACTGACCTCCGAGTCTCAGCAGGAGAACGACGCCGTCACTTTGGAGCAGCACTCGAAAGAGTCCATCAGGCCGGGCTCCGAGATTCTCACGTCACGTTCCAATTCGCAGAGCAGGTCCTAAAAGCCTTGCTCACCAACAAAAAGAATAGGTACGTAACCCTAAAACTTTCCTTTTCATGTCGGCCGTCGGCTGCTCGGCGTAGAGGATCGCGCGCATCACGCGTGAGCTCTTGAAGAAGTTTGCCGGAGCCTACCGGATGTTCCAGGAGATGGCTCCTTCGCCGCACATAGCCGTTAAGGGCTCAGGCCGTGAGTCATAGAGGCTTCAAGATTTTAGCCTTGCTTTAGTTTTAAGTGGGTTTTGGGCCTTGAACTGCTAGGGTGGAGGTCTTGGTGTCTTTTGGGTCTTGAGTCTTGAGTGTGAAAGGTTTAGGGTTTGGGGGAAAGCCCAACATCTCATGTAGCAGCAACCACATATAAACGGTCTAGGGTTTCGGGTCTAGCCTACATAGTTTAAGGCGTACTGCTTCATCAAGGGGTGCCCTTTGTTTCCGGCAGCAGTTACACAGAAGGATCGTATGGTTCTTCGGGCATTGTACATTGGTTTGGAGGTCGAGGACTTAGAGGCATTATCCATACAGTGGAATGTTGCACACTTCCCAAGCCCTAAGTCGTTGCGCACCGCCAAAGTCGTAGCAATCCCGCGTCACCTTGCAGAAGCGTACTCGCAACCCATATAATCTACCACTTTGATAACATCTTGCATGCTTGTTTGTGCAGCGTCACATTGGGGTTTCGTACTTTCGTGCTGGCCGATCGTCCCATGTGGAATCGAGCGTCTACATGGGGACAGGCTGCTTTTGATGTGTTGTAGTGATCTGTATCTCGAGTGATTGACTCACTGATGTGTTTCTCGAGCTACAGTAGTGCTGGCAAAAAGGAGTGTCCACATAGGGAATGGCTGGTTTTGATTTGCTGCGAGGCCACTGACGTGTTTCTTGATCGGGTGCTTGCGAAATCCAGCGTTTACATGGGGAATCGCTGGTTTTGATTTGCTGCGAGGCCAGTGATGTGTTTCTTGGTAAATCGAGCATCTACATGGGGAATGGCCGGTTTTGAGTCGCTGCGAGACATGGGGAATGGGTGGTTGTGGTTTGCTGCCCAAACTTGGGGACGTACAAACTGACAGGGATGGGTAATTATGTGGCACCAAATCACAATGGAAGGTATCCTTCAACCCCCAGCTACTAATCTACGACCGGGTATCGTTCATTCTAGAATCTTAAACGGTGAATTCGGAGCATCTAGCAGGTTTGGACGTGCTGTGATGCCATTGATGAGTGTGTTGCACACGCGCTTGTGAAATCGAGCCTCTACATGGGGATTGGCTTGTCTTGATGTGCTATGATGCCACTGATGTGACTGATGTGTGTCTCGCCGGCTTGCTTGTGAAATCGAGTGTCTACATGGGGAATGGCTGGGATACTGCGTGGGTTTGGGACGGTTTCAAATCGAGCGTCTACATGGTGGTATTCACTTACAGGTATGTGGATTTCGGGTGCATTCTCTGCGGCTGGGGATTGGCCGGTGCTGTGAGCATCACGCTGATAGCACTCTTCAAGGACGAGCAGAGCTTCCACATCTGGTTAAAAAGCCGTGGGAAAACAAACCACCTGCGCGGAGGGAGTCTTGATACAAGCTTGCGTGGAGAAGACAGGGGCTCCCGTGATAATTTGAGATACAAAGACAGGACCTGGGAAAGGTACGTTCTCGCCGCCAGATTCTCTAAGGGCCGTGCTTGCTGCGCCCGCAAAGCTGTCCCACACACCGTTGTTTGTTTATCCCCACGCAAGAATCCTGAGCGAACATCGCTGACAGCTGGTTTAAGGAGACTCCCAGCTTCTGCATTGACCTTACTGGAGGCACCCGACAAGGCAATGCCACTCCCTCAGCCTCAGTGCACTCGCAGTGTACTCCTTCGGTGCCTTCGCATCCTTAGTGGAGGCCTCAGTCTCAAGCTCAGGAGATAGGTGTGGCCGCTACCGCTTCGGTTCATACCCACCCCGCGCACCATGTTGCGACGCCCTCGGTCTTCTTCACTCAGGGTGGTGCTCAACCGTCTCGAGCGGAGACCAGCACTGCCGAGCACATGGTGTCTTTTTCGCCTTGCGAGGTCCAGCAAGGAGGACTACAACCCCTCCCAAGACCACCAGTCGACGTGCTTCAGCCGACGCTTTCGTTTGCAGGGCAAGCAAGCCCCCACTGTTGCGTACACACAGGCCCATCTTCGTGGGCCGTGACCGAGAGCCGTACCCTGCGACTCATGCAGGCCAGCAATCCAAAAAGACTTCGTCGGAATCCTTCTCATAAGCCAACCGGCGGTTTGCCCCCTTTTGCTCAGCAAGGCGACGAGCCCAGACGGCTCTGGTGGCCATGTCCGTATTGCATATACCGAGTTTTCACAGGTCCTGGCGAACCTCTCCGCCCAGACCTGCAACGCAGCCAGCACGTTTGCAAGACGCATGGCTTCGACAAGGCACCAGATCTTCGCCACACGACGAGCCTGACTCACGGGGCTTCACGAAAAGGGTTGGGCCAAGGCACTTCTGTATCGAAAATTTACGGAGGCCCCTTGGCCCGGCGCGCATAACATCACCGAGGAACCGCCGAGTTGGATTCAGCAGAAAAGTAAACAGGGGAAGACCGCGTACACTGTGTGCCACAAATGCAGAACATGCGGGCTGGACAAAGGTTCCCCCGACATTTCTCTTCTGAGAGAGTTAAGCTTTGGAGGCAGTGGCGACAGGAAACTTCCATCGAAACCGCATGCTTAAAAGCTCTTAAAAAAGTTTGTGGCGCGGCCAAGGCCAAAGGGCCGCGAAAGAGGCCTGCCGATCAGCAGTCGTGCTGACGGTGCGGAGCCCTCCGGAAGTTCGCAAGTCACACTGGTGATCTCTTACTTTCGGCCGGGGCCCTAGCACCGACGAGACGAGGCCTGCGGGCCGCACGAATCGGTGAGGCCTTGGACCCAGGCCCAAAACCGAGGCATCTGTTTGCTCAGCCTAAACGTGTGCTCGCTTTACAGACATCGCCAGGCTGGATTACCATGGCCCAGTTGTGCTCCGCCAAGAGACCGGAGTCTCGCAAGCTCAGCTTCCGACCGAAAGTAACTTTTACCACCGCAAGGGATGGCAGTTTCTTGGGCTTCCGTGTGGTGCGGTTCATGGTGATGGGAGAGGAGGCGCCGGGTGTCTCGTCAAGTACCCTTTAGGGCTTTCTCTTTTTCCCACCATACCCAGGTTCAAGGACAGGCCATGCTTATGTGGAGCCACCTGTCCTTCGCACTTAGTCTGTGCCTACCGTAGATCGGGTCCTGGTGGCGACGTCCTTCCTGAAGTCACTCAGCTTCTGCAGGCTCATCCCATCGCCGTTGACTTCAACCCCAATCCGCTTGCAAGGGTCCTTCGCCAGACTATGCGGAACTGGGGCGCCTCCCTTGCAAACGGCAAACGTCGGTCACCACAACAGCAGCAGAGAGCCTACAGACTCCCTGTGGGTCGCTCCGGCCCTGCAAGTTACCGATGCCGCCGATCTCAGATCATACGGTTATGATGACTACGTTGGAAGTTCACCGAGCTACGGGTCGGGATCCAGCTTGGGAGTCTCGCAGCGCAGCCCTTTAATCGCGCCGCAGAGAGGGACTTGCTGGCCTTAAGTGCCAGTGCGTGGCAGCAGGAGGCAGTTGCACCCCTCAAAGCCCCGCAGGAGCAGAGACCACAGTCTTTGCAGACAGCGGACATCGATGACCGCTCCTCCACCGAAGCGTAGCAGAAGTAAGGAGCTGGAAAGAGGACTGGGAAGCCTTGGAAGGTATGACGCAAAACCAACGAGGTGTAAAACCAGTTCTGGGGACCGACCCCAGCGGCGGTCCGGGAGTTATCCCAAGCGGGCTATGAGGCCCGACCTGCCATCCACATTTGGATGCATCACTTCACTTGGCAGCCGTGACCGAGCTGCCACTGAAATCGAATGCAAGCGGAGCAGGGACTTGCGCGTGCTCAACTAGTCGGAATCTTGCCGTGTGGTGTCTCCCTTAAGCAGCGTCTGGTGTGCACTGTCGTTGTTCCGAAGGCCACATGGGGACTTGGTCTGAACAACAGGACCCCGTCCACTGAGCACGACCAGCACCTCCAAAGGTGTTTTCTCGCAGCCTTACGGGGAGCCATGCTTGCTGCCGGTAGAGCAGCAGTCAGCGCCTTTACCTCTGGACATTGTGCAGACTCGGGTGTTATGGCGCTGAGCCGTATCCTCAAGGCACCGCCAGATGGAGGCAAGCCTGCGCCCGTGAAGGCCGCCTTATCTCATGGCAGCAGCCACTGAAGGAGAGAGCTAGGGGTGTTCAGAAGCATGATGGTTTTGCGCTAGGCGTCGCCGCTGGAGGGTTTAAATGTCCCGCAATTGACTTCAAGACGAAACTCATGGTTCATGAATGCCCGTCTTGTCGTGAACGCACCGTCCGAGGTCTGCACAGTCTGCACCATGCGTCTTGGGACTGCCCGAAGTTTTCTGATCTCCGATGCTGTAGCGAGCCCGCATCACAGCTGGCTGCGAGGCCAGGATGGGACCAGCAGGGGACCGACCCACCACGAAACATTGAGCCAATTGGGCCGAGTCAGGAAGCGCGTTTTGCATGCATGCATGCATGCATGCATGTATGTGTCATATATACATGTATACACAAGCAAACAAACCATCAACATAACGAACAAATAAACAAGAATAGAAAATATACAAAACAACAGCCAAACAAACAAGCAAACAAGAAGGCAAAACACAGATAGCAGACAAGCAAACAAACAACCACGCAAGCAAGCAAACAAACAAGCAATAACAACATGAACATACGCAAACGCATGAAAAGGGGCCGATTCCACAAATTGCTATCATACCCACACCGGTAGTGCCCCTGCTGCTTTCTGAGGAGGACGGGGATGGTGAGAAGTATCTGGACATCTCCAACCGAAAGAGCGACATGGTCTTTACGGACGGTGACGTCCACGAGCCCCGAAGCGGATCCTACTTTCGTCGGGTTTTGGACTTCTTCTCAGTAGGGCCTTTAGTCTGGTTTTCGAACATGTTGAGAATTCGTCCTCTCCTCTGACCATGCGTCAAGTCTCACTATTGTCATTTCTTGGCTTGATGCGACCACGACGATGCTTATCCTCAGCCATCATGAGCTTGACAGACGTATTGTTCCCCGTTTGACCCGACCGAAAAAATCAGAGCCGTATAGTGTCGAAGCCGCAAGTTTTTCGCATGCCTGCACCAACGAGGAAGGCATCGCCATTACGAAGGAGTTGTTCCTCATCGTGATTCAGGCGGCTTGCCTTCAATGCATGCAGCCCGTCCGTGGGCCCCAAGCTGTCGACAGTTCTCAAGTGATACCCCAATCAAGCAGGGAAGTGTCCCGGAGGATCGTTGGAGGATCGTTGCTGAAGACAGTTTCTTCGTTCGCATGTGTCCATGTCGCCCTGCTAGGACCGTCGTGTCCAGGATCTCATGGATGAGTTGGCGCCTGGGCTGACCGTTTGCTTACAAGTCACAAGTCCTTACAACTCAAGACCACATACTGTACCCTGCGTTGTGATTGTTACTGGTCGCGTAGTGCTTCTACTACCACTGCTGCTTCATTTGCGCCTGCTGAGATTTTGCTACAGCTGCAGTGGTGCTCGCGAGGAGCTTCCACCCGATCGGGCCAATCTCTTCGAGATTATCGATGCGGACAGCAGTGGAACTTTGCACGTGGCGGAGCTTGCCCTCGGCTCGGCTCGTACGATTGTGAGAGCTCGTCATTGGGTTGCTGGCTTGACAAAGAGGCTTCAGCGGTGCAGGTAACACATTGGTTGAAGGCCCCGTCGAAATTGAGAGCTGATGTCGCGAACTCTTTCACCCTGTTTCCATACAGCAAAGATTATGTGAGGCTAGCCAGAGCGCTCGGGGTGATGATTGATGGCGGTGTTGATGATCACGAGGATGCATGGTGGTGGCTGTGGCTGCTGCTGTTCGTGGTGGTGGCGGTGCTGGTGGCGGTGCTGGTGGCGGTGGTGCTGTGGCTGTGGTGCTGGCGGTCGTGGCGTTCGCGGCGATGGTGGTGGTTGTGGTGGTGTTGCTGCTGTCGGAGTACTGCGGTGTGGAGGAATGCGGATCAGTGCAAAGGTTCATGCCAGGACGGAAGGATACAGATACGTTCGCATACACGAATAAATATGCTTTCGGGGAAAAGGGAGGGCATTTGCATAATAGCAATCACGTCAATGATGGAGATGAAGAGCAGATCAATGATATGACTCCATGAAGATGAAGCAAATCGTTGGTGATGGTGGCAATGCAGCACCACGTTTGAGAATGCTGATCAGGATGAAATTCGCACATGGCCAGTTTCTCTTTGCCAAATCGCTTCCTAGTCGCGGGGGTTATCATCAGTGTTCTGCGTTTGGGGGGGGTGGCGGAACCGCTGCATCTTGAGGTCCACGGCCTGTTGAAAATCCGCGGCGAGATCACCAAGAGCGATGTCGTGGCTGGTCTCCTGGCGACCAAGGCACGCAGTTCTACAAAAAGTAAGGGATATTGAGGGGATGTATCGGTTGAGACCAACGGAATGGGTGATAGGCGAGCACCACATTCAGTGCCGCCAAGAGCAATTGTCGTCGGCAGCATCTAAGTGCTCAGTCGTCCGATCCGTCTTGGTCGCCTTGCTCTCCTAGTCGCCTTGGCAGTCTTAGCTGTACCAACATAGAAACATGCCACTTGCTCTCTGTTCTGCAGGCTTGCTACGACAAGGTCGCGGAGCTGAAGGAGGAGACGGAAGACAAGCATGGCATGCTGTCGGCAAGCTCCGCAAAAGCGAATCCCGAAGCCTTGAGCCCGCAAAGCGACCCCCCGCCGGAAAAGCCAGGAGCAAGAGGAGAGCCTCTCTGCGGTCCGCAGCCAACTGGCGGCTACTCGGAGAGCAGAGCCAGAACCCTTCGGTTTGGTGGGGGTTTGCTGCTGCGTTTCTTTTGTCGGGTGCTCTGCTTGCCTTTCGGGGTCCGATGGGTTGCAAGATGAAGCTGCAGGTGCTGCATTCGGAGATGCTGATGCGGCGCCGAAACAGTGGCTCCACGTGCATGTCGGCTCCCGATGCTGACCTGATGCAGGCACAGGAAGACCTCCGCTGGAAATGTTTGGATGGGGGTTGCTTGACAGGTCCAGGAAGAGGAGGATCAGCCGCCGGAGCTGCTGGATCCCCCTCTCTCGAAGCCGCGGCTGCTGATGTCGCCGGCCCGGTCCGGCGTGGCGAGCCTGCACACTGGGAAGGGGTTTTAGGGTTCTAAGGGGGTATTGGTAGTTCTGCTTGGCAGCTGATCGAAGCGGTCAAGGAAAACAGGTGCCACAAGCCCGCAACCCTGGTTTTAGTGGCGAGGCATGTCCGTAGAACTCCACCAGGTTCCGCTGAAGCCTCAGCTGATCAACGACGACGGCGGAGCTTCTCGGTGCAAGTTCGGTGCATATCTGCTCCTCTGGGCGCTCACGCCCCAAAGGTCAGCAAAATCCCAGGGAGTCTCCCGCAAGCGAGCAGCACAGAACACAAGGGCCCGGGTCTTGCACTTGGCTTCCTCTGAGGATCCGCCAGCTCCAGGCGTTTGACGAGGAAAGGGGCGGGGTGGGGCCCTTGTTGGGAGATTCGGTCGTAGCGCACTGGGCTGAAAGATCTCTTCATCAAGGATCCCCATAGCAAGGCAAGTCGACGAATATTCCGTAAGGGCGAATGATGTGATTCCTTATGATGGAGCGAGTATCGCAGCATGCAATTGCATTATTCTCGAACACTGGAGATGCAACCATTCATAGCAGGATTCATTGGTGACATATTTGCAGACGGCTGCATGGTCGTCTAGAGCATTGTCTGGTAGGGGTCTGATCGTTTATGGACCAGACCTCAAGCTCCAAGAGCTGTCTCGAGTCTGCTAGACTATTCCAAATATAGACTGGTGGAGGAGCTTTTTTCTGAGCACCCCAAACCCTAAGCAAAAAGGGCCACAAGCTGAATCCCGCGGCGAGGAGCTGGACGGCTTGGCTAGTCTCGGTGTTTACGTGAGAAGCCTGGATGGCTTTTGTCTGCGTACTATTGCGCAGGCATGCTGCCTGCATAAGATGCATGCCACGCCTTCAGTCTGGCTTCTGATTGGAAGTGCAGCTTAAACTGCAAAGTTGGTGGAGGGCAGACTGCATTGAAATCACGCCGACGAACCACGAGCCGGCGATGCCGGCCGCCGGCCACACACGTGTTGACCAAATGCTCACATTATGCTTGTCTTGTCGTGTTCTGCTATCTTTGGATTCGATATGCTCTGGTACAGATTCTTTTTGCAAGAAGCCGCTTCCCTTTTCGACATAGGAGAGCAGCAGTCGTTCCTTCGGAGCTTCCCCAAGGGAAGTTGTTTGCATGAAAAAACCGCGGAGGAGCATCAGAACTAGCAACCAGACATTGGCAGATCTATTCCAGGACCAATGTCTACGTTCCGGCCTTTCCTTGGCTTCTCAGCTGTTCTGCCCGAGCAATGCTGGAAGTCAGATACATTCCCAATTTAGCCTCCACAGTCCACGCAGAGCCACTCCCAGATGAGCAATGCGCGAGTCGTAGACCTGCCATGCTTTCTGGCTGCGGTGTGTGACGCTATCTCCCAGTCACTGCCTCGGGTTTTGGGGTGCTCAGTCCGCGAAGCAGCTGACCGGTCTATCGTGCCACAGCTTCTCTGTCCCGGCATTGGTTTTCATGCTGCATGTTGGAGTTCAGCGTAACAAAGTACGACGACATAGCGTATGTAAAGACTCCATACAGTTGACAACAGTGCTTTTTAAGGTTAAAAAAGACTAAGTCCAGATAGATACATATATAGATAGGTCTGTGAGAGTAGCGTCATGCAGGAATGAAACATGCATAAAGAACAATGGGCACAATGACTTGAGATATAGGTTAGTTGAAAATACAGATGAAAAAGATAGATAGTCAGTTAAGCAAATCAGAAGGTACATAGACAAGCAAGTAGTAATAAACAAATGCTGAGGTAAATAGGTCAATATAGGGGAAGCAGACTAGTCAATATATAAGCGTGTTGCATGACTACCTACCTACCGACCGACCGACGTACCTGCCTGCCTGCCTGCCTGCCCACTTGCCTAACAGACAAAAAAAAACAAATCGACAAGCGAAACGTGATTAGTTCAACCTCAACGCAACTAAAGTAAACTGCCTGCCTCCTGCCTCCCTGAGTGACAGACCGATCCACTGTCTGACTGGACCGACGTGACCTGGCTGACTGGCGGACTGATTGGCTGACTGTCTGATAGACAAACTAAGCTGGTTATACATATATATATATATGTAT